GTATCCAATACTAAGTACAATGATCATTATTATGAAGTATGTATGAAATATTTAATGCAATAAACCATATCAAAGTCACTAAATAAATCTAAAAGAATTGATGTCACATAAAATGATATATTAACATAATGAAATCAAATTAAAATTAATAATAGGAGCTCATAAATTTCCAAATACTTAGGAGTTAAATAGCACATTCACCAATAAATGAATCAAATACAACTACAGCACTCTGAAAAAGATATTGAAGAGGATATAAGAAAATGGAAAGATATTCCCTGCTCCTGGGTAGGAAGAATCAACATAGTGAAAATGGCCATACTACCAAAACTGCTATACAGATTCAATGCAATGTCAATTGAAATTCCAACAGTGTACTTCACAGAACTAGAAATGAATCAAATACAAAATATGAAGAGAAATTAGAATGTTATTTTGAAGTAACAAAGTTGAACATATAACAATGTGTGAGGTGCATCTGAAGAACCACTTCAGGAAAAGTTTATTGCATTATGTTTGTGATACAGATAGGAATTATTACAAATCAATGATGAAGGTTTTGCTTTAAGAAATTTGAAAATAAGAGCTAAATAAACTCATGAGCAGAAGGAAAGTAATAAAGATAAGAACAGAAATTAATACAATTGAAAAATGGAAAAAGAGAAAATAATCTAAAAATTCTTTCTTTGGAAGATGTATAATGCAAAAAGGAACAAACAGATTAGAATGAAATCATACATGTCAATAGATCCCACAGATATTAAAATTAAAATAAGGAAAGTATACAATTAACATAATGCACATAAATTTGGTGACTTGGAAAACAAGTTCCTTGAGGATGATGAGTATCCAAAACTCATATAAGAAGAAATCAATTGCCCAAATAGTCTTTTATTGTAGTAAATGCATTCATAGTTTAAGATAATAAAGAACTATGACAAGGCCCTGATGATTTCACTGGTAAATTTTGCTAAGCATTTAAAGAAGAAATATCAATCCTACACAATTACTTTGAAAATACATGATAGAAGAGGAATGATAGCTCTTCTTTTTTATTTTAGGAAGTCAACATGACTCTGATGTGAAAAATCAATATCCTTCTAAAAAAAGATGAAAAATATATTCAAAACATACAAACTGAATCCAGAAATATATAAAAAGAAAAATACATAATGAGAAAGGGAATTATTACAGGAAAACATGGATGCTTGAATATGTGAATTCAATGTAATACAATACATTAAGAGTTGAAAAGAAAAAGAAAATATGTTGATCAATGATGAAAGTCTTTTGACAATATCCATCATCCTTGCTTGCTAAAGCCTCTCAGGAAACGGGTTACAGAAATGAATTTTAACCTTATAAAAATTATTCAGAAAAATCCACAGCTAACAAGAAACTTAGTGGAATACACAGTGTTTTCACCCTAAAATCACAAACAAGGCAAGGATGTACATTATTTATACCACTTTACGCAAAGTAGGGAAGCCCCAAAGATATTCATAACCTAATCCCTAGACATTGTGAGTAATTTCTGCAACAAAAAGGAATTAAGCTTGCAGATAAAATTAAATGTTGCTAGTCAATTATTCATGAGAAGGGAATTCTTTGGTGTCCCTGTAACCCTTTATATAATCATAAGGGTCTTGTTATATAGAAGAAGGCAGAGTCTGTTATGGCATGTGTCTATATGTCTCTCTAAAACCTCATGTGCTCATAAGTGGGGCTTTTCAGAGATGGCTGGATCTAGAATGTGTACTAGAATTAATGCTGTATGGTAATAAATTAGTTCATGGATTGGCTTCCCATGGAAAATGGGAGGGCCCACTCTGGGTGTGGATACCAACCACCAAAAGGCTTATAGCCTGAATGGATATAAAATGAGGGAGGGAAGGTAGGCTTGCTGCTTTTGCTGTGTGCTGCTTGCTGCCTCCTGCCTGCTCTACCATGAACTGTTTCTCTTCTGTGGACCTTTTGCAGATGACATAATTTCAGTATAGAAAATCCTAAAGAGTATATAAAAATGCTAGAAGTAATAAGTGAATTCAGTAAAATTACAAAATATAATGTCAACATACAAAAGTTAACTCAATTTCTATGACAGCAATGAACAAGTAGAAACCAAAAAATTTTTAAATATCTTGTATTTATATTGCTTTTAAAAACTTTGAATCAGGCAAGGTGGCTCATGCTTATAATTTCAGCTACTCAGGAGACTGGGGAAGGAGGTTTACAAATGTGAAGCTATCCTGGGCTACTTAACAAGACCATGTGTTGGTAAAATTTTCAAAGAGGTAGGGATGTAACTCAGCATTAGAGAGCTTGCTTAGCATGTCTGAGGCCCTGGGTTTAAACCCTAGTATTGAATAAAAACTCTTAAATATATATGTGTAAAACTAACAAGGCATGAGCCATTTACCTATGCAGGTGATTATGAATGAGATGAAAGAAATCAAAGAAGAGCAAAGTAAACGAAGAGAAACACCTTTCATACAGTGGCAGATGCACTAATTAAAGATGACAACTCCTCCCAAATTTATTAAAGATTTGATTTAATTTTGCCACAATTTTGGAAAGTCAAAATCCCAGCAAGAGTTTTTGACATAAACTTTTTTTCAAATTTATATGGAAAATCAAAGAAAAAGCCAAACTTTTTTGAAGAAAAAATAAATCTGGAGAATTTGCACCCTCAATTTAAGACTTTCTATAAGTCTATAAAATTCAAATCAGTGTAGTATATGAATACTCTGAGGATATAACACTCTACATTGAAGACCCAAAAAACTCCACCAAAAGACTTCTAGACTTAATTGATACTTTTAGCAGAGTAGGAGGATACAAGGTCAACACCCCAAAATCAATAGCCTTCTTTTACAAAAATAACAGACTCATTGAGAGAGAAATTAGGGAAACAATTCCTTTCACAATAGCATCCAAAAAATGATGTATCTAGGAATCAATCTAACAAAAGAAGCAAAAGACCTCTACACTGAAAACTACAGCCCTCTGGAAAAGATATTGAAGAGGATATAAGAAAATGGAAAGATATTCCCTGCTCCTGGGTAGGAAGAATCAACATAGTGAAAATGGCCATACTACCAAAACTGCTATACAGATTCAACGCGATGTCAATTGAAATTCCAACAGTATACTTCACAGGACTACAAAGAAGAATCGAAAAATTCATTTGGAACCATAAGAGACCTAGAATAGCAAAAGCCATCCTAGGCAACAGACACATGGCAGCTGGTATAAAAATTCCCACTTTGAAACTATACTTCAAAGCCACTCTGATAAAAACAGCATGGCACTGGCAAAGAAACAGGCCAATACCATGCTGATTCTGAACAGACTGGAAGACACAAAAACAACTCCAGATGCACTCAGCTACCTCATCTTTGACAAAGGAGGTGACCATCCCCACTGGAGGAAGGATAGCCTCTTTAATAAATGCTGTTGGAAAAACTGGATCTGAAACTGCCACAGATTAAAACTGGACCCTTATGTTTCACCAGGCACTAAATTAAAATCCAAGTGGATTAAAGATCTAAATATTAAAATAGAAAGATTAAACTCACTGGAAGGTAAGTTAGGCAGAACTATGCAAGACATTGGCATAGGAAAAGACTTTATGAACAAATCTTCAGTAGCATGGGAACTAGCAGAAAGAATCAACAACTGGGATCTCATCTTATTAAAAATCTTCTGTACTGAAAAAGAAACCATCAGCAGAACTAAGAGACAACCTACAATGTGGGAAAAAATTTTATCAGGTGTTCCTCAGACAAAGGACTATTATCTAGAATATATAAGGAAATCAAAACAATCAGTCCCAGAAATATAAAGACCTGATTCAAAAATGGGAATCCAAAATGGACAGACATTTCTCAGACAAAGAAGTAAAAGTAGCAAATGAATATATGAAAAAATGTTCCACATCACTGGTCATTCGAGAGATGCAGATGAAAACAACACTGAGATTTCACTGTACCCCACAAAGAATGGCTGCTATCAAGAAATCACACAATAACAAATGCTGGCAGGGTTGTGGGGAGAAAGGAACCCTTCTCCATTGTTGGTGGGAGTGCAGACTGGTACAACCACTTTGGAAATCAATATGGAGATACCTCAAAGATCTGGGACTAGAGGTTCCATTTGACCCAGCCATCCCTCTGCTGGGTATCTCTCCAAAAGAACTAAAAGAATCATATCACAGTGATATATGTGCACCCATGTTTATAGAGGCAGAGTTTGTAATAGCTAAAACTTGGAAACAGCCCATTTGTCCATCCGTTGGAAACTGGATAAAGAAAATGTGGTTTTTCTATAAAACGGAATATTACTCAGCCATAAAGAAGAGAAAATAGATTCATTCATAGGAAAATGTATATATATTGTGGATATACTCCTAAGTGAAATAAATAAAGCACACATGTGTAAATACCAAATAGTTTCTCTGGTGTGAATAAACTGCAGTAATACATAAGATTCTAATAAGATTACAGACATTGCGAAATGGGAAGAAAGGGGCTAAAGGTGTAAGGGAGGTGGGGTGGGTAGGGGAAGGGTAATAAGGGAAAAGAAAAAAATGTGAGACAAAGAAAAGATGGAAATAAAGTGCTTGTAGATGGGGAGGGGAGCGGGGGTGAAGGGAGGGCAGGGACAAGGGGAAAAAATGAGAACCACGACCTGTCATGTAGAGGTGCAAGATCCCAACAATGAATGTAACTGTACTGTATCCCTAAAATATACCAATAAACTCAATTAAAGCTGAAAAAAAGGTTTTGTTCTATGAAAGCTGCTATTAATAGAACAGTTTTTACAGAGCATGAGGAAATATTTGCTTATTTAACAAAAGATATACATTTAGCATATATTCTTGAAAACCTCTCAAAGCACAATAGAAAGAAAATAATGATTGAATTAAAATGAGCAAAACACTAAAATATTTTACTACAGAGGTTATTATGATGATAAGCAAGTGTATAAAAAGGTATTCAATACTTACCTGGCAGGGGAGATACCATAATCATTAAGGTGGTTTTCCAGGGTGGATCTTATCCACTACACTTTGGATGTGCTGACCCCTGTGAATTCCCAAATGTGGGAAACTCAACTGCATAATTTGCGGTAGTGGGGGACTGCATTCGCTCTCTCCCCTGTTTAAAAAAAAAAAAAAGATTTTCAGCATCTTTTGCCAGTTGGAATATGCACTATAAAACTATATTGAATTACCACTGTACCAATATTAAAATAACTGAATTTTTGAAAATCTGATAATAACAAGGGCTGGGGAGAAAGTAGAACAATCAGAACTTTCACATATTTCTAGATATGAATTGACTGTTTATGTCCACCCACAATTCAAATGTTGAAGCCCTCACCCTACTGTGGCTATGTTTGAAAATGGGACCCTAAGGAAGGAAAGAAAATTTGATGAAATTATAAAAACATGGAAGGATGCAAGAGTAGTGTCTTAAAAGAAAGATATTAGAGAGCTTGCACTCTCCCTTTCACTTGTGAGGACACAGCAAGAAGACAGAAAAAGAAGAACAAAAAAAAAATACCTTACTGTAGACCAGCACCTTGACCTTGGACTCTCAGTTTCTAGAACTGCGAGAAAATAGAGAGGTGCTTATTTAGGCTGCCAGTCCACAGAATTTAGTTATGGCATCCATGGCTGACTAACATATGGTGGTAACATAAAATGGTGCAGCCACTTTTGAGAAGTTTGGGTTGTTTCTTACAGTTAAGCATCACTTACTAAATGACATAGCAACCCCACTCTAAATATTATCCTCTATAGAAATGAAAATTTACATTATACCAAAACCCCCAGAAATGAATGTTCATAGTATCCCTAGTCATGTAGCATGGAGTAAATTTTCCCAGGGGATAAAGAGGGTCAAAGGAGGAAAAGGACCAAGCTTTTTTCTGAGAAGGCTACCTCTATTACTTGAATGGAAAAAGCAAAAGCATACAACAAATCTGTAAAATATATCTAAAAAATAACTGTGGTTGTACTTTCTAGCATTTAGAAATGACTGAGATAAAAAAAAATAGGGTACATAATATATTTTATGAGATTTGTTAACACCTGGATATCTCCCCTACCCACAACTCCTAAGACCTACTAAATATTTCAAAGAAATTTTGGTTCCCAAAAGTGGCTTGAACAGGAAGTAAGAAAGAAGACTGAAAGGCTATACAGCCTCAACTTGGGCATATTATCCAATGCCAGCTTCTGAGTTGGCCAGGAAAAATAAAGGCAAAGAAACTGCCAAGAAGGCAAAGTCACAGACTCTGGAGCCCAGTGATAAAGAAGCTCTTCCCAAAGAGTAGGACCAGTGCCAGACACGGAGCATTCCTGTCCCTGGATATATCCTAGAGTGGCAACAAACATTTGTTGTTCTGAGAAACTGAGATGTTGAGGGTTTCTTTTAAGTGCATTCATTCATCTCACAGCAAAAGCAGACATTTTCTCACTTTCATGGTCCTCCCCAATTAGAGTTCATAACCATGCAGAACAGTGGTTGTGGCACGTTTCTGATCATTCTCAGGAAGGAGTCTTTATTATGGTTACTCTTTCCTTGTGCTGCTGCTGTATTGTGTGTGGATGTGTGGTGGTGTGCACACGTGCACATGTGCACATGTAGGAAGACAAGCAATAACTCATATTTTTATTTCAAATTCTCCAGACCAGCACAGATCATATTCACACACTGTGTGAGGACTGTTGTGACTTACTAAGAAACCTGAGGGATTTCATGTAATGCTATAACTGAATGAGCCTGAGTGCTCACACAGCTGGAGAGAGGAGGTCTCCTGGAGGATGTCTTGAAGAAAGTGTGTTCAACATCTGATAGAAGGAATTGACTTAATCTTTGGTGACTAAAAGACAGAGCATAGCAAACATGTGACCCAGGCTGAAGAACGCAAGAGGTATGAGGTATTCAAGCATTCTTTCTCCTGCTGTGACAACTAAGAGGGCTAGGAGGCCCCACAATATGGCAGATCCCCTGTCAGTTGGATGGCTGTGTGGAGCCGAGGAATCACCAACATTGGTCCCTGCCAATGCTCCATAGACATGTAGCAAAATAATGTTCCAACTAATATGTACACCCACCTCCATTTTGGATTAAGAGTTTCTGGTAAAGTGAGAATCATCTTGACCATCCATACAATAACAGCAGGCAGAAGAGGGAGCTGATAAAACTAGCGAAATAGTGAGATGGTTGAAGAACCCAGTTTAGTCACCTGAGACTCACACATAGAAACATCTTTTCAAAGCAATACAACAGTGCATTCATGCCATAATATCAAGAGTTTATATATTTACATGTGTGAAAATGTGAAATATAGACTTGCATACACAGGTCATTCTTGAAGCATTCCCCTTGCAAGCTGGAAATAAGATAAATGACTATGGAGTCCAAACATAATTTTTTTCAAAAAAAAAAAAGCAAAAAGAATAAATCTTGGTGTTTGCCACTATTCAGTAGTCCAGGATATGCCCATCTTTTAACTTTTTTGTTAAATCCAGTATTTACTAGCAAATTTCTGCTCATAGAAATGTTTGAACTCCCATTGTTTGATTTGTGCTAATTCTTTTTCAAGTGAGTAGAGTTAGTGTGAGGGAAGGCTGACAGTTCTGTTTCTAGCAGACACTAGGTTTTACTGTGTTGGAGCAGGAAAAGCATTATATTTTCATTTTTCCACTACTGCATCTGGGACTGTTTGTTAGTTTCATTTTGATAGATGGAGAGAAGATGAACATATCACAAGATTTATTTTTCAGGGCATATTTGATAGAATCTCAGACCTTTTACCTTTCTCTATACTGCCTAGAAAACTCAAATCAAGCCAATGAAATGTGATTTGGTTCACTCAGACTTTGTTAAAACTGGGCTTGATAGATTAAAACTATATCAACCTGCTTTTTGTTTTTTTCTTTCTAGAAACTTAAGCATAAGGCAAATTCATGGATCAAAGGCTACAAAAATATAAAATATCTAGTTTTCTTTCATAACATTTTCTGTTATGGTATAGATAATGCATACAGTCAACATGAAATATATAAAATCTTAGCAAGCAAACACAACAAAGCAGCATCCTCAAAAGATTTATTCAGTTTCCAAAAATTTGCTTAGGAGAAATAATTATCCTACTGTTAAGTATTGAAACAAAATAAATGAGAAAAAAAAATATTTTTTCATTGTTTATTGGTACATTTTAGGTATATAATAAAGTTACAGTCATCATTGGGACCTTGTAACTTTACATGACATATCTTGGTTCTTCTTCCCCATTGCCCTGGCCTCCCTTTACACTCTCCACCCTTCCCTACTTACAAAAGCTGTTGTAATTTTTTCATTTTCTCATATTTTTTCTTTCCCCTTCTTTCCTTTCCCCTACCCTTCCCACTTCCCCTACTCCGTTAGCCCTTTCCTTCCTATTTCACATTACCAGTTACACAATTTGAACCTTATTTACACTTTTAGTTTTTCACACCAGAGAAACTATTTGGTATTTGTGTGTCCTATTTATTTCACTTAAGAGTGTGGCCTCACCACGGATATAGCAGTTCTGCAGCCTGCCTTGAAAGCGCAAGGACTCGAGTTCAATCTCCAGTACCAAAAAAAAAAAAAAAAAAAAAAAAAAAAAAAAAAAAAGGAGTGTGGCCTCAATATGCATCAATTTAGCTATAAATGTCTCTAGTTTATCATTCTTTATGGCTGAGTAGCATTCCATTTTATATAAAAACCACATCTCCTTTATCCAGTCTCCAGTTGATGGGCAAATGGGCTGTTTCCAAGTTTTAGCTTGAAAAACTGTGTCGCCATAAACATGGGTGCACATATATCACTGTGGTATGATTCTTTTAATTCTTTTGGGAAGATACCCAGCAGAGGGATAGTTGAGTTAAATTGAACCTCTAATCCTAGTTGTTTGAGATATCTCTATATTGACTTCCATAGTGGTTGCACCAGTCTGCACTCCCACCAACAGTGGAGAAGGGTTCCTTTCTCACCACACACTGCCAGCATTTGTTATTAGTTAATTTCTTGAGAGCAGCCATACTTTCTGGGGTGAGGTGGAACCTCAGTGTTATTTTCATCTGCATCTCTTGAATGACCAGTGATGTTGAACATTTTTTCAAATATTTATTTGCTACTTTTATTTCTTTGTCTGAGAAATGTCTGTTCATTTTCGATGCACAATTTTGAATCAGGTCTTTATATTTGGCAGGTCTGATTTTTTTTAATGCTTTATATATTCTAGATAGTGGACCTTTATCTGAAGAACAGCTGGTAAAATTTTTTCCCCACATTTTAGGTTGTCTCTTAGCTCTGTTGGTGGTTTCTCTTGCAGGGCAGATGCTTTTTAATAAGATGAGATCCCACTTGTGGATTCTTTGTGCTAGTTTCCATACTACTGAAGATTTGTTCATAAAGTCTTTTCCTGTCCCAATATCTTTGAGAGTTCTACCTAACTTATCTTCCAGCAAGTTTAGTATTTCTGTTTTAATATTTAAATTTTTAATCCACTTTGATTTCAGTTTAGTGCATAGTGAAAGATAGGGGTCTAGTTTTAATCTTTGATCAATTTGAAATCTTTGAATCAATTTGAAATGCAGTTTTTCCAAAACCATTTATTGAAGAGGCTACCTTTCCTCTAGTGAGGATGGCTGGCTCCTTTGTAAAAGATAAAACAACTGAGTATGTCTGAAGTTGTTTCTGCAACTTCTAATCTATTCTACTGATCCTCTGGTCTTTTCCTTTGACAGTACCATGTTGTTTTTATGACAGTGGCTTTGTAGTATAGTTTCAAGTTGGGGATTGTGATGTCACCTGTCATGTCTCTGTTGCCTAGAATTGCTTTTGATAGCCTAGGTCTCTTCTGGTTCCAAATGAATTTTTCGATTGTGAGAAAGATGTATTTTTAAAGCATGTCTTAAGAAATCATCTCTGCTCTCCCTGAGTTCTAAAGTCTGAAAGTTAGAATTAAAGAAAGATGAATCTGTAGTGTGGTGTCCTAATGCCTATTTCACACTAGAAAATCTGATAAATTGTCATTATAAGAGTGGAAACTAGATGGTTAGGGAACCAAGTAGGTGGAAAACTTTTTCTATATATTTTTATATCATTCAAATTTAAATTATACAAATGTGTCAATTAGCCAAAAATCAATTTTTTTGTGGTGTTGTGTGTTAATACCAGGGCCTTTGCACTGAGCTTTATCCCCAATCTCTTTTAATGTTTTGTTGTTGTTGTTGTTGTTGTTGTTGTTGCTGTTGTTTTATTTTGAGATAGTCCTTCCAGATAGCTATGTTACTCAGGATGGGCTTCAATTTACAGTCCCCTTGCTTCAACCTGTCAGAGTACTTGGATTACAGATGTATAACAACAGCTAAAACCTATCTGACAATATACAGCAGGCCATCGAGTGCCACATATCGCCACACTCAGGCCCTAGACTTTTTAGTTTAGTACACACTTGCCACAGTCCTCCCTGCAGAGCCCTTTTCTGGAGGAGCAGCTACAGGAATGCAGCCTGGGAAGAGTCTAAGGCCCACCATCTGCAGATTAGTGCTTTCTCTCCTCCATGCCAGCTCTTCTTTCTCACTCCCAGCCTCTCTCCTTATCCTCTCTGCTCTCCTCCGTGGGTTCTTGGACACTAATCAGCTACTACTGGATGTATGCTATGTGCTAGATACTGTTCTAAGTGCTTTGTGTTAAATAATTTGCAACTTAAAATATAACAGTAATATCACAGAAAAAGTAAAACCATATGTAGGTATCTGGGGCTAGCTGGTTCCAGAGCTCCAACAGATATCAAAACCACAAGTGCTCAAGTCCTTATATAAAATAACATAGGATTTACATACAACCTATGCCAGTGATGGTGATTCTTTATCACAGATTGTCAACACTGCAATTAAACTTGAATACTGAGGTTTTAGTTTAGAAAATAGTAACTCATACATTAACCTATTTTGTCTTAAAAGAAAAACAAATAACATGCATGTCATAGGTTTGCTACCACTGCCCTCTGCATATTCCCCAGTATATTCTAGATCACCTTAAGAGTATTTGTAATATTTAATATAAAATATATGTTATGCAAATTATTGTATTATATAACATAAGGAATAAAGTCTATACATATTCACTACAGCATTTTTTTTCAGCTTTAATTGAGTTTATTGGTTACATTTTAGGGATTCAGTACAGTTACATTCATTGTTGGGATCTTGTACCTCTACATGGCAAATCTTGATTCTCATTTTTTCCCCTTACCCCTGCCCTTCCTTCACCCCCTCCTCCCCTCCCCATCTACAAACACTTTATTTTCATCTTTTCATTATCTCACATTTTTTTCTTTTCCCTTATTAGCCTTCCCCTACACATCCCACATTCCCTACACCTTTAGCTACTTTCTTCCATTTCTAAATGTCAGTAATCTTATTAGGATCTTATGTATTTTTGCAGATTATTCACACCAGGGAAACTATTCGGTATTTCCATAGGTGTGACTTATTTATTTCACTTAGGAGTATATCTTCAATATGTATCCATTTTCCTATGAATGAATCTATTTTCTCTTCTTTATGGCTGAGTAATATTCCATTTTATAGAAAAACCACATCTTCTTTATCCAGTTTCCAACTGATGGGCAAATGGGCTGTTTCCAAGATTTAGCTATTACAAACTGTGCCACTATAAACATGGGTGCGCATACTTCTCTGTGATATGATTCTTTTAGTTCTTTTGGAAAGATACCCAGCAGAGGGATGACTGGGTCAAATGGAACCTCCAGTCCCAGCTCTTTGAGGTATCTCCATATTGATTTCCAAAGTGATTGCACCAGTCTGCACTCCCACCAACAATGGAGAAGGGTTCCTTTCTCCCCACAACCCTGCCAGCATTTGTTATTGTGTAATTTCCTGATAGCAGCCATTCTTTGTGGGGTGAGGTGAAATCTCAGTGTTCTTTTCATCTGCATCTCTCGAATGATCAGTGACGTGGAACATTTTTCCATACATTTACTTGCTGCTTTTACTTCTTTTTCATTTCGGATGCCCATTTTTGAATTGAGTCTTTATATTTGGGGGGGGGCTGATTGTTTTGAGTTCTTTATATATCCTTGATAATAGTCCTTTGTCTGAGGAACACCTGGTAAAAATTTTTTCTCACATTGTAGATTGTCTCTTAGTTCTGCTGATGGTTTCTTTTGAAGTACAGAAGCTTTTTAGTAAGATGAGAACCCAGTTGTTGATTCTTTCTGCTAGTTCCATGCTACTGAGGATTTGTTCATAAAGTCTTTCCCTATACCAATGTCTTCCAGAGTTCTGCCTAACTTACCTTCCAACAAGTTTAATGTTTCTGTTTTAATATTTAGATCTTTAATCCATTTGGATTTTAATTTAGTGCATGGGGAAAGATAAGGGTCTAATTTTAATCTGTGGCAGGTTGACATCCAGTTTTTCCAACACCATTTATTAAAGAGGCTATCTTTCCTCCACTGAGGATGGTCAGCTCCTTTGTCAAAGAAGAGTTAGCTGAATACATCTGGGTTTGTTTTTGTGTCCTCCAGTCTCTTCCACTGATCCTGAGGCCTATTTCTTTGCCAGTACCATGCTGTTTTGATCACAGTGGCTTTGTAGTATAGTTTCAAATTGGGAATTGTTATACCTGGTGCCATGCGTCTGTTGCCTAAAATGGCTTTTGCTATTCTAGGTCTCTTATGGTTCCAAATGAATTTTTGGATTCTTTTTTCTAGTTCTGTGAAATATAGTGTTGGAATTTCAATTGTCATTGCGTTGAATGTATATAGCAGTTTTGGTAGTATGACCATTTTCACTATGTTGATTCTTCCTACCCAGGAGCAGGGGATATCTTTGCAATTTTTTATATGCTCTTCAATTTCTTTTTTCAGAGTGCTCACTACAGCATTTTTTGCAATTGCTCTTGATCTATGGACTTAGAGGGATCCAGAGACCTACATGGATTCATTTGTTGAATCCATAAACCTAGAGGGCCAAATGTTCTGACCTTTTATGATCCTCAACATAGAGATAAGGACACCAATAGCAGAGAGGTAACTTGCCAAGATTGTACAACTACTAAGTGGGAAAATTGGAATTTGAAACAACTTTTTCTGCCCAGTGTTTACACATAACCATTTTCTATGCTGCTATAGCAGGTTAACCTGTTCAACTGGTTCTTTCCTTTATAAAATACATAGTTTCCCAGTAACTATATATGACCACTATATATTTTTTTCCAGTAGATAAATGCTCCAGGGAAGAAGTAGGCATTTTGTTAATGTTTGTTCTACTGGCCTAAACATATCTTCCAGAATAAATCATATACTTTATTTTAAACTTCAAAGAGAGAGGAAAAAAATATGAATGGAAAAATCTGTTGCATCCAGGTAGGATAGAGGTTAGGATGGCTAAAGGAGCTTGGAGAATTAGCCTTCTCAGTTCCTTGAGTACTTCTGGCCCTTTGAGGACAAGTTAAGAAAGGTAAACCTTTCTAAACTTTTAGAAAGGCTTCAAATCAATATGACAAACTAAGCCCTCAACTACTGCAAAAGTAGTACGTGTTAAGGGACAGTGAGTCATCTTCCATGGCGGAATCTGAGCCAAGTTTGATAAGGTGACAGTAAAGTTGTAAAGTGACTTTAAGGCATAAACACTGAAAAAAAATTCCCGTGGAACTTATTTCATTTTGAGAATTAAAAATGATTCTATAATTTTTAAAATATATCTTATCTTTTCTAAAGTCTTCTCAGCTTATTTACTCATATAATGAGTGCTCTTGATCTAATCTAAGGCTAATATCTCTTAGCTACACTGAATGATTAATTAGGTGCAGAAATCTTTGACATTAGTCCCATCCTTTTGGTTCTCAAAATACTGTGATACTGTTCAGAGGTTATCCAAGTTGTACACATTTATTGCCATATTATAGCTGGATTCAATTACCTTTGTGCTTCAAAGAGACATTACTTCATCATTCCAGAACACTATTTATGGGATTCAAAGAATTAATAGCTCCTTTTTATATTGCCACAAAATGCTTCCCTTGTTTAAAGTTAGTTTTAAATCACAATTCTGGAGATAATCTGGTGAAACTGGAAGAGATAGCTTCTAAAGTAGTGTTTTAAATTGTGTTGTTTTAAAATAATATTAACTATAATTACAAAATTGTTGCTTTTCAAAAGAATTTAACCTTTAAAACTTAGTAGATGGCTGTAATTACTTATCAATGATTTTTCTGTAGTTTAATAAGGAAACCAAAAAATATTTCTTCCCTTTTCACTAAAAAGAAGATTCATACTTAGAGTAGGATACCTATACTGACATTTTCATAATTTTTATTTGTGTTTTATTTTATTTTTGTTGCTAGCATCTAAATTACATTAGTATTATATAAGTCAACTATATTACTTCAACTTGATCAAAGATATGCTATCATATGAGTAGGAATTCATCTAAATTATAGGGTACAGTGGTAGGATTGTTACTCAGTTTGCAGAATTCCTTTAAAGTGAGAACGGTCTAACGATGAAAGTCTTGTGTTTTCCTTAGAGTAAGATTCCAGCTATTTTCCATTTACATCCAATTTTCCAGAAATTTCTATATAAAATAAAAGATACTAGTAGTTTTGGTGCTTAATATTTTACAGTTATTTTATAGAATTTCTCTTTTATTTTCATTTGCACATTGTATCATTTCAGTTTGTCAAGACTGATTCAATACTAGAGTCTCCTAATTTCAAACTTGCTGCCAAAGCTGAAATCAACTGAATGTCATGCATTACCAGAATTTATTCCTATGAAAAAAATAAAAGTATCTTTTCTTACCTTTTCCCCCAAGTTGTAACTCAATTCATGTCCATTTGAAGTTGGAACACTCTGAGAATGATATCACCACTGCATAAATCAGCCTGTCAAGGGAGGCCTGAAACTGCTTTTTAACTTCTTTTAGAGGAGATTGGAGACTATCAGAAGAAATATAAATATGACTTAATTACTGAAAAGAGTTTGGGAAAAGATCTTACCAACAAAGTGTTCTTTCAATGTGTGGTCATCATAAGAATTCTACAAAAAAAAAACAAACCAAATACTATTTACTTTGCATTCATCTACTACAACATATCATATTCACAAGGTTCTGTGTCTATGTATAGTATGTTTGATCCATTTTTTCTTTCGGTAAAAATGAATCAGGTTAACTTTTACAACGAATTGCAAACTGCTGGGAAACATGTTTCAATTAAATATGATTCAAAGTAGGTTTTTATGGCTGTGAATTAAGTACCAGCATCATTAAGCATTTTATATTTTTTTGTTCATTATCCTATAATTCATTGTCATGGCTGTATGTGCAAATTACCGAATGTTGATTAAAATATTTACTTCTTTGTCCATCGTTAATTTGATCCTCCAGTATATCTTTACACAAAGAGAATCAAAGAACAAAATTCAATAGTAAAGATCTAATTAGCTTTCATTAGCTATTCATGAATTGGGCAGCATCCTATCTACAAAGGAAAAAGGTGCTCTGCTGGTAGGGACAGAACACTGAGTTTTTCTAAGGTAGCTTGAACAAAACAGATGAGTACAGTACAAAAAACAGGTAGGTTAACACCATGCTACTTCGGGTAACTTTCCTGACAAGATTGAACCAGAAGAGGTTTCTTTAACAGGCTATTCGCATTGACTGGGCCCCTTATGACTGGCTGCTGTGAATATCTTCTTCTTTTCAGAAAATTTCTGTTTTGTAAGTTTCAGTTTTGTTATGCACCATTTAGCATGAGTTGTTTTTCATTCACATTTTGTTTGATCTATTGGGGCCTAATATAGAGTTCAGTCTAAAACCACAGCCTTCCATAAATTTTAATTAACAAGACTACATCTTTATCTATATATGTATATGTCTATATATTCATCTGTCCATCTATCTAATATACATTTGAGAATTATTTACTTTTTCATCCAGCATTTTATAATCTTACCCCTAAAAGAAAAACATTTCCACATTTTTAATATTATCCATGAAAAACTTATACCATCAATATGCCAAAAAGGTGCTTTTAGAAAATAGTCCTCTAAGTTAAACTTTCATTATCCCTATTAGCTTATAATAAAAGCTATGAAAACTTAGCAAGTTTTAATCTAATTTTTTATTAGAAGAGTAATGTTGGGCTGTGAAAAGTTTAACACCTGAACACAGTGCACCTGATAACATCATTTTATTTTATTTTAAGGTTTATTTTGTGTTTACCTTGCCCATAATAATTGTACATATTTATGGAATATAGTGTGATGTTTCAATACATACATATATTATATATTGGACCAAATAACATGACTCTTCTGTTGCACTGCCTCAAAGATAGTTATTTGCTTAATTATCATAAAGTTGACTGTGTCTAGATAAACTGGTTGATGGTATTTTTTCGGTCAGGTGTTGCCTATTTTCACAAAGCAAAGAAACAAAAAACAGAATCTAGTCATTGTTGTAAATAATTCCTTTTAGATCATTTGATTATTTATAGCTCTGCATTGCTCTGAAATTTATACCTATCTCTCCTGCCCTGTTACTATATTTGTTACAGTTAATATAATCCTACTTGTATTTATCAAGAAGTATCTAAGCTATGGGATACTTGTTTGTATCTCATATTTCCTTTACTTATTAATTCATAGAGAGCTGAGTTTTAAAACAGTTTGAAGTACTTCCTTATGAATTTTCATGCCTATCCACTAAAATCTGGAGGCTGTCCTTAAATTTATTTCAAATTTCCTTTATTTTTATGAGAGATCTAAGATCTTAAGCAAGAGACCACTTCCAATGGGTTATGTTTATTACACAAATAAGGGTATGAAGAAAATTTAAATAGCAATAACCTTAAGCTTTGTTTTTGTTTGGAAGGGGTGGGGGGGTGGTACAGGTGGTACAGAGGTTGAAGCAAGAACCTTTACATTGAGCTAGATGCCTAGCCCTGATTTTTCTTTTTATTTTGAGATAACAATTTGCTAAATCACTTAACTGCCTAGGCTGGACTAAAACTTGCAATTCCTCTGCCTCAACTTCCCAAGAAACTGAGATCCATAGCAAAAACTACCATACCCATCTTTAACTAACTTTTAAATCAGAGCTTACTCTTAATCCTCAGAGAGCTAAAAACTATAAAAGACATGGAACACTGAGTCAGAGGAGTCTTTGCAGATACTTCCAGAAAGTCTGTTATTCTAATCTTAAAATAGGTTTGCAGAAATTACTGATTCCATCATTATTCTAGCTGGATCAAAAAGTGTATATTTACTTGACACTTTTCAAATAGGAATGCCTTGTCCTAAACACCAGTACATAGTATTGCCTTTCACTTCTCAGTTTTTAAATTTCTGCTCCCTTCATTCTCCTCTTTCATTCCATGATTTGTTCATTACAATTTATGAGTTTATTAGCTTATCTAATAAACATTTCTTAAACACCTGCTTTGTGCTCAACACAATGCAAGAAGTGAGTATAGTCATCTACATCTGACTCTGGCCAGATATGGGAATAAAGAAAAGCCCAAGGGACTCAGCCAATTTTGTGCTCCAGTTCCTATCCCACCAATTACTTGCCTTGAACAACTTATTTCACTTCTCCAGGCTCATGTTTCCATAATGATGAAAAGATCTCAATCTCTCACATCTTGTACCTCTCTTAAGGCTAGATGACTACCTCTGGCTCATCATGTACTCTGTCAAAGATTACACTTTATTTATAAGCATTCAAGAAAAAGAGAAAAAGAAAGATTAAAAAGTCAAATAGAATGTTTGCTCTTGAGAAGTGATGAAAGTTCATTTCCTCTTTCAGAAACAATGGCTGTTTCTCTGGAACAATCTTAAAGGGTTTTTGTAATTTTCCTTTTCCCAATAACTGCCAAGCAACTGAATATCACAGTCTATACAGTAGTGAAATTCTGCCTTACTTCTTGATTGCTGTTTTCTTTTAGTAATTCCCTAGCAACAAAATAAAACAACTTCCCCTGCTTACTCTGTCTCAGTTCAAATGATCAAGTTCTTTCCAAAGAAAGGACTATGGGTTTTGGACCAATTTTTTTTTTCTCACTCAATGTTATATGGTTTAATTGTGAGGTAAATAATGAATCGCCTAAAAAACATACCAAAAACAGATTCAGCTATGGGATACAGAAAAACAAAAAGGTAAAAACAAAGTCTGAAGTTTTAGATGTGTATAAAAATGAAGAACAGAACTAAAGTTAACTTGTAGACCTGTAAAGTAAAGGGAGGTGAAGGTGGAAGTAGAGGTGTATACTGTGGCTCAGATAACATACTCCTTAGCTCTGGAACACATCTTAAAACTAAAGACTCTGACCTATCCCCAGTTTCTGACTGTGGGAACATTTTTGATTCTCTGTTTCTTTCAAAGCACAGGAAACAGCTTCCTCTGAAGCTCTTTTATTTGATTAAAGTTCTCTTCCCAGAAAAATACAATTTCTCTGGAATCTCATTAGGCAGTAAGGATTAACCACTGGAGACCAGACTCAAAGTCAAACATCACATCTAGGGCCCAAAAGAACTTACCCCAGGCTATACTTTGTTGTTTGGGCCCATTTATTTCCCCTAGAAATCATGTACTACACCTCTAAAATTCTCTACAACCACTCATTTCTCTCTTCCCTATGAGAAGGGTTTTTAAACCACAACCATCTGGACTTTAAGTTTCCTATTTTGTATGGTACCCATGTATATGTGCATATTAAATGAATTTGTATAATTTGTCTCCTATTATGTCCTTTGATCTCAGGAGACTCAACTACAAAACACTTCAGATGGAAATATTGAACTTCCTGACTGAATAAGAAAACCTAGAGATGGTCATTCAAAAGCTACCTTTTTTATCTTTCTACCCTCTACAGGCTTTCCTAGTAGGTGCCAAGGTTGGAACCCAAGTAGAACACAGTAGACAATATCCGTGATTATTTCTACGCAGATGTACAATGCTCCATGAAAATATAAGGGTCAGATGGTGATTGAAACAAGCAACTTGGTTTGAATGGATTTATTATACTCACATAATAGACTAAATGGCCCTGGAACCAGAGACTTTTCTATTCAAGCACAATTCTTGATTGAAAAAATTTCTCTAGAATATAGAATTACGGATAAAACCTGCTCATTGCCCTTCATTATATTTTTTTCAAACTTAATCCACAGAACTTCCTCACTAGGAGGGCACAGCACTTTAAACCAAGACAGAGTGCCTGAGACAGCAGGGAGAGAAAGAACAAGACCCAAAAATCATTTTTATGTGCTGCATTTATAAAAGAAGCTTCTCTAATATCACTGTTTTTGTTTCCACTTTAATTTCTTCAAACTATGGTGTAAGCAACAATGGGACCTCTATTTCAGTCAATCCTGAAAGTTAAAGATTAGCTAAACAAATTAGAGGGGAGAAACCAGAAATCATTGTGACTTTTTTACTTGTCAACACACCAGATAAATCAAATGAACCAAAACATAAAATAAAACTGGCAACTGGAAGAGTTGTCTGGTTCACAAGTTAACAGGGATGTTTAACTTGTTTGTTTTTATTCAAGATTTTCTAAAATTATTCCCATATTAACATTCTCTGGCTATTAGCATAGAGAAAAAGAATAGGCAGTACTCTGAAAATCTCTTAAAATTACACAAATGCACTCGTTGCAAAGCCACTGGGCATATGTACAAAACAAACATATAATCTTACTCCTGAGAAACTCTTTTATGAATCCTCACAACTCATTAGAATCTCTCTCATGTGGCATGGATTATTGCCTCAGACCCCACAAAGGTGATATTTTACAGGGTTAGGATAAGAACAGAATGTCAAAGCTTCAGGTGCTCCAGAGAAAAAAATTCCGCTCTGTTAGGAGAAATAGATCTCTGTGATGTAATAACAACAAAAGTATATATATAT